TGTCTGGGTTCACTCACCCATCTGTGTGCCTGTCTGGGTCCACTCACCCATCTGTGTGCCTGTCCCACCGTTCACTCACCCATCTGTGTGCCTGTCCCACCGTTCACTCACCCATCTGTGTGCCTGTCCCACCGTTCACCCACGCACCCATCTCTCCACCTAGCTGTCTACTGTCCACTCACTTGCCCACTTCATCCATACATCTGTCCATCCACCAGCCTGTCCATGATGTTTACCCACTATCCATCCATCCTGCCCTGGGTTGCCATTCCCTTGCTTGAGCATCCACAAAAGGAGGCCTGTTACTGCCTTGTGCGCCCCTGTTCTCCCTCTTATCTGGGTGGAAATTCATCATTCTAGCCACTTTCTTTTCTTCTTTCATCTCACTCTGAAGTCTGTCCACCAATCCATCCATTTATCCACCATCCATCCATTCACCCATTCATCTGTCCTTCCATGTATCTATCTATCCATTCATCCATCCATCTGTCCATCAACCACATGTCCATCCATCTGTTTGTCCATTCTTCCATCTACTCATTCACTCATTTTTCATTTATCTGTGTGTCTATCCACTCACCCATCCTTCCATCACCTGTCCCTACATCCGTCTACTCATCTGTCTATTCTTTCATTCCTTCGTCCATTGCTTATCTACCCAACCTTTCATTCACTTGCTCTCCATCTGTCCATATTTACCTGTCCATCCCCTCCATTCCCATGTCCATTTAGGCTGAGAAGTACCAGAGCTGAGGTGTCGCAGCGGGGAGAATCGTTGGTGAGGAATGATGATGGCTTAGGGAGACTTTCAAAAGGTTTCTGCTCTTAGCCACAGGCCTGGTGAGAGCTGGGATAAGGTTACATAGTATCCCCAGCTCCCCTAACTGGAAGTAGAGGTCATTACCATTCCAGCTTCGTTAGGACAGGTGTGCCTGGGACCAGAGTTGGCCAAAAGAACTCAGGGCAGTTCCAGGCTCTCAGTGGTGATCTGATGGGCTTGTTTGCCCTGTCCAATAGGCTTCCTGCACCCCAGAGCCCAGCCCAGCCACTGCTGCTCTGTGAGCAGCCAGTGTTGTTGACAGAGGGTGGGTTGATCGGGTTTCCAAATGTGAGGCTGTTTATGATTTCTGCCTGTGGCTTCAGTTGAACCCTCTGGAGGTGACTTCCGGATCAGAGTGGAAAACTGTTTTCCTTTTTACAGGCAGAGGAAGCCAGTGTCTTTTAATGCCATTAAGTGCTGAGAGACAGGGGAAGGGATTAGGTTTGTCTGAAGTTGGAAGGAGGCAGGGGGAGTGGGTAGAGCCATTGACTGAGCTTGTTGAGTCTGCTCAAGGGGTGTCAGGTTTCTCAGAAGGAACCCTGACTTCTAAGCCTCTGTGGTAAGTGAGACCCAGCCTGGCTACTCCGGTGGCATTTTTGGCGTCTCCATGTCCCCAGCTTGCTTCAATGATGGCCATACAGCTGGGTGGTGGAGGGGGCATTGGTGTGCTCACAGAGATATGTGGGATCATTCAATGATGTTCGATAAAAGGCTGCTCCAGGTAAACCTACTTAGGTGTGTGCAAACATCTGTGACTGACACTGAGAGCCAGACTCAGTTTGCGGATGCTGTTTGCCCAGGAAATGTTTTTAGTCCATTCCCACCTTGGCAAACTCAGGCAGAAGTGCAAGTGGAAGCAAGTCCCATATAATAGGGAGATGTGATCATATTTATCTGCCCTCATCTTGCAGAGCTCTGGAATGTTCATCATGGCCCACTATGTGATTACACAAACATGGGAATATCTGGAGAGCCCTCGGGGCAGGGAGGGATGAATGAAAGGAGTCTTAAGAGCACAAGGAAGCTGCAGCAGAAGCTGAGTGAGCTGGCTCACACTGTTATCCCAGCACTAGGAAACTGAGGTGTGAGGATCATCATGAGTTCAAGGCCAGCCTGGGCTGCAGCTTGAGGCCAAAGAAGAAAAGTTGCTAGATTGGTGCATTTTCACCCAGATAAGAGGGAGAACAGAGGTGCATGAGGCAGTAACAGGCTTCTTTTGTGGATGCTCAGGCAGAGAGTGACAACCCAGGGCTGGGGTGATGCTGATGCTGGCTACCTATCATATTGTTAGGATCAGAATTGCACCTTCCAGACCCAGTAACATCTCAGCAAAGAAGTATCCAAAGCCAGGGTGGTGAAGTAAGCAGCTGCCTGAGTGGACAGGTGGGGTGTGCACATGGTCTTTTTAATTACTTAGGGAATAAAATATGTACATATTCACATTGCTTATGCATATACATACATATACATATGTGTATGCATATATAATTTATGTATACACACACACACACACACACACACCTGGGTAAAGCTCAGTGGGTAAAGTCCATGTTGCAGAAGTGTGAGGATCTGAGTTCAAACCCCAGAACCCAACAGCAGTAGCTTGTCCTTGTAACCTCAGCCTCAGGGAGGAAGAGACAGGCAGCTATTTAGAGCTTACTGGCCAGGATCCAGGTTTAATGAGAGATTCGGTCTCACAAACTAAGGTGGAGAGAGGCTCAGTGGGTAAGATAGTTTTCTGGGTAAGCATGAGGAACTGAGTTCAAATCCCTAGCACCCACAGGAAAAGCTGGGTCTGGCTGCACATATGTCCATAACCTCTGTGCTGTGGAGGCAGATACAGAAATAAGACGGAATATGATAGAGCAGGACACTGTTACCCTCCTCTGGCCTCCACACATGTGCAAAGTCACCTGCATCCACACATACCTATGCGTACATTCTGTATACACCACACCACACACATATGTCCACACATCAGGAGGAGAGTGATTTAGGAAGATACAGGATGTTACCCTCTGACCTCCACACGCACCCACAGATATATGCACACATGCATGCATGCACGTACACACACACACACACACACACACACACTTTACCACTATGAGCCAAGGATTATTACTTTAACATGGGAGGAACCAAAAGGCCATTTGTCAGGAGCCAGACATCAGAGCTGGCCTGCTCACAGCTCCCTGTGTGACTTCTTCCCTTCTCCCAGCGAGCACAGCAAACTGAAAACCAAGATGTTAGTGGGGTTGGGATGAAAAGCTACAGAGAAGCATGAATAGACACAGTAACCACATATGACAATTGGTTCATTATGGCATTTCCTTCAGGTATGCAATGCATTTGGGTCATATTCAGCTCCCCTTGCCTTCTCTTGTCCCCCTCCCACACACCTGACCTTCCTTATCCCAACTTGTCCCGCTACTGTTTTGATGTCCTATTTCTTTGGTGACCGATGAATTTCATAGAGCCCTATACTTGCAGGAGCATGGCTGAGGGTGTTGTCCACAAGACCATGGGCAACTTTCGCGAGGCTATACCACTGAAGAAAATCTCCCTCCTCCATCAGTCAGTAACTCTCTGTAAAGCCTCAGGGAGGGGCGGAGCTTCATGAGCCCTTCCCCAGCAACTAAAAACTCTAAATTCTTAGGAAGGGGGTGGAGTCTCATTTGCCCCTCCCCTGGCAACTAGTAACTGTGAATCCTCAGCATGGGGCGTGGTCTGGTGTGTTCTTTCTTTATCCATGATGGAATGCTGACCAGGCTGATCTCCCACAGGTCTTGTAAAGAATTATTTATATTCTCTGAATGTTGGAACCAGAGCACAGAGCAGTCTGGATCTTTCATTTTGTATTTTCTTCCCAGATGGTTTTGTATATTCTCCAGCCAGAGAGGGCTCTTGAATTCTTCTGAGCATTGCCTCGATTTATCAATCTGCATACACTCCTTTTTGAACAGTCAGGGCAGACAGAAGTGTCCAATGTTTCCAGGCATGAACAGTCTCTACTTAGCCTCCCCAGTATCATAGCCTTCTCAGGGACCCAGAGACAGGGAGATCTCTGATGGTGGACATTGCATATCAGGAGAGTGGGCTGACATTTCTGACTGTGTTTTAGTGATTATGCTGGTAAGACGGCAGGTTTGGGACAAATGTGGATGAGTTGCATGTCCCTACTGTTTCTGGCAACTCTGACAGTCCACCCCTCTTCCCTTGGCTTCTGTCCAACAGCCCATTTCATATCTGCATTTAGAAGATGAAGCCATCAGGCTGCAGGGGTGGTTCAGAGGTCACTCTGGGCTCCCCAGCTTTGGTAACTTCCAGGGTCCACATGTCCTGGCACATTTCTGTTTTGCAAATAGGGTGTTGACTGATGTCTCATTTCTTTACATTTTTGGAGTGCTTGAGAATTAAACCCAGGGCCTTTTACATGTTAAGCAAGTGCTCTACTATTGAGCTACATCCCCAGTCCTTCTATATCATTTCTGTGTCTGGAATTATGAACATTCCTGGGACTGTAAATATTTTCCTCAAGAGGAAAAAAAGACACAAAACCAAAAGCCAGCAAAATCCACATAATCGGGCTCAATGGCCATGACCCAACAGAATTGTATTTATTGGCATGAAGAATGTTCAGAACCTATTGTGACTTATTCTCCTAACTGGATTGTAAAAACAGTGCCCATAAAGTCATTGCTTTCTTGTAGGAAGCCAGTTGGGGGCTGGGGAGGTGACTCAGTTTGTCCAGTGCTAGCATGCAGACACCCTGGGTTTAATCTCTAGCACTCCATAAATCCAAGGTGGTGGCTATAATCCCAGAACTGGGGATGTGCAAGCAGGAGGGTCAGGAGTTAAGGTCATTCTTGGTTGCATGGTTTGAGGCCAGCCTGGGCTACATGACACATAGTCTCAAGAAAGCAAAATACACAGAAAGGGCCAAACAAGTAGATCGTGCCTGTCGGCTGTGTGCAGAGCACCCACATGACACTGGATAGCAAGTCTGGCAAAGGCCTTAATTCCTCTTTTAATTTGGAGAGGATCTCCTCCCCAAGGCCTGCAGACTGTATTCTGTGGGGCTAAAAGGTGGTAAGTGGACAGGACTGTGTATATATTGTTGGAAGCAGGTTTACTCAGCCAATGCCACTTACAGCTCCTGACTGTTTTTGTTTTTCAGTGACATATTTGATGCCATGTTTCCTGTCACTCACATCGCTGGGGAAACAGTCATACAGCAAGGTATGTTCCCCACTAGATACTCATTGTCTATCTTGACCAACTTAACAAATTGCCAGGGGTGGTGGGCACTTGAGAGGCTGAGGCAGGAGGATTGCCATGAGTTCAAGGCCAGTCTGGGCTATGATGTGAAACTCAAGAAAAATAAAAAAATAAAAAGACACTATTAGGGAAGCAGAGGTAGGCAGACCTTTGTGAGTTCCAGGATAGCTAGGATTACATGGTGAGACCCTGTCTCTAAACAGAGGGGCAGTAAGGAGAGGATAGAGGGAAGAGAGAGGAAAATAAGGCTGAGGAGGAGAGAAGAAAAGAGAAGAGAAAAGGAAACTAGTGAAACACAGAAGGATAGTAGTATAAATCTGTCATTCCAGGAATTCAGGAGGCCAGAGCAGGTGGATTTTGAGTTCAAAACCAACCTGAAGAACTTGAGTGAAAAGAGTTCTGGGGGCATGACTCACTTAGAGCTTTTGCCTAGTTGTGCATGAGGCCCTGGGTTCGATTCCAGCATGTGAGAAGGAGGTGTGGGGTGGGCCTCTGTACCTAGGAACTAGCTCCTGGGACTGGTATTTACATGGTGCTGACTGGCACAGAAAGTTGCAAGGGTTCTTTGCCAGGCAGTCACAAAATTCTAACTCAGTTTGTTTTGCATTTTACATCTGTTGTCTCTTTGTTTTATTGTAGGGAATGAAGGAGATAATTTCTATGTGATTGACCAAGGAGAAGTAGATGTGAGTATCAATCTGGGTTTTTGACAGCTGGTCCTCTTTTGCATGCTTGGTTTGAAGACTTTACACAACTTAGATTTCTTTCTGAATAGATTCCTAATGATCTATCTATCTATCTATCTATCTATCTATCTATCTATCTATCTATCTACATCTATGGTGCTAAGGATGAAACTCAGGGCTTCAAGTACTTAGGGGGATGTTTTGTCACCCACACACCAGTTCCTTACTGAGGAATTCTAGGCAGGAGCTTTAGTGCTGAGCCGTGCCCTCAGCCTTATTTTAATTATTTTATTCAAGAATGAGAATACATTTTTGTCTAAAGGACATTATAAGACCATGAGAGCTCAGTTGGGAAGGAGAGCTGTGTCAAACAGGTATAGGGCCAGTGGGGTTCTTTGTTGTTTTCACAGAGGGTCTGGGTGGAAAGCAGCCTACGGCGTTCTGTTTGGCTAGGTCCTGCCAGCAAATGCCACACAGGCTCATTGTGGATGTTCATGATTGCCATGTGGGCAGGAACTCCCAAGTCTGGGGAGACCCTAGAGGTATTGATGTCGCATGGGGTGTCAGTCACCTTTTCTCAGACAGCAAGCTTTACTGAGGGACTCTCGAGACAAAGGGCTCCCATGCTTATAGAGCCCCTCCCCTGTAGAGACGCCAGCTGGTACCTTCAGTCAAGTCTTCCCTCGTTCTCTCTCCATGGCCACCCCTGCCCAAGCCCCCAGTGTGCCCTGGCTGGAGAGGCACTGGAGAGGAGGGGCCTGTTTCCTGTCCAAACCCTCTGTGGCTTTGTCTGTTTGATTTTTTTTTCTGAGACAGGGTCTCAATTTGTAGCCCAGGCTATCTTTGAGTTCATGGTAACCTTGCTGTGTCACCCTCCTAAGTGGTATGATGACACTCATGACCCATTACACCTGACTCTGTTTCTTTCTGAGTCGGAAGTCTGGGGCCTTCTCTTGCCTCCAAGAGTCTGACCGCTGTGCCTGGACTGGTCCTGTCCTTATTGGTGTCCCCTTACTTCCTCTTGCTGTCACCTGAGTACCTGTTTCTCCCTTTGGTATCCCATTCCATGTCAGATCTTCAGGGTGGTGTCAGCAGGTGCACCATGTACCCTTCCCTATACTTGTGGCTGTGTCGGTGGCCTCCCATTTCCTTAAGGTCTGTGTCCAGATGGACCAGAGGACATAGACTGGGTTCCTCTAGGATATTTCAGGGTCCTTAAAGTTGATCAATTCCTAGGCCAACTCCAGGGTTATTGCTGGGCTGGAACTCAGCAGAGATAAATCTTCCAATTAGCCATAGTTTGTGCCCCACCTGTCCAAGGGGATTTGCCCCGCCCTCCATTGCCTCAGAGGTGTCTAGGCCACACCCTGCCTGGTGCCCTGGGGTTAGGCAAACTATTTTGGGCCTGGCCTCTGCTCTTGAGCCTCTGTCCAGCCGGGCTATTTCTGGGAAAAGCCTTTTCTGATTTCCCCAGCAGCCTGACTTTGCCCCACAATGCATTTCTGGGAACCGCACTGACCCACCTGCTTCCGGAGCCACCACATAGGAAGTGACTCACCCTGGCATCCAGAGGGGGACACAAGCATAGTTGACCTAGGGAATCTGACAGTTCAACCCCTGGTCTGGGTCTCAGGGGAGGGAGAGCCTCCTGTCTCCCCAAACAAGGAAACTGAGTCGGGAGCTAGTGATTTCCCTGGGGGCTACTCACTCAGAGGAAGCATGAGGTGGAGGATTAAAAAAAGGTTCTGATGCCAGGATCTGCTGTGACCATGGTCACCTCCTTCTGCTGTCCTTCAGGCTAAAACAAACAAACAAACAAACAAACTTCCATGAAAAAGCCAGCCCAGGAAACAGCCGGGTGGGTTCCTGCCCTAACCCAGGTCAGGTTAGGTAGGGAGGAGAGGAGGGCTTGGTCCCTAGTGGTCCCAAGGACCAGTCTCTCCAGGTCTGTGTTGGAAGTGGCATTGATGAGTTGAGAAGCTAAGAGGTGTGGGTGACTCATTTCTAATTTTTAGTTTATTGTTGTTTTGGTTTGGTTTGGAAGATGGGGATTTCATGTAGCACAGGCTGGTCTAAACTTACTCTGCAGCCAAGGATGATCCTGAACTGTCAATCCTGCCTCCATTTCCCCCGTGTTGTGCTGCGGGTGGGGGAGCGGGGCTGGAACCCAGGGTTTCTGGCATGCCGGGCAAGCACTCTACCAACTCCTCTAGTTTGCACCCATTGCTCCTCCGCCAAGCCCTGTTCTCAGGTTACTGTCCACCACCTGCCGCTCAAACCACCACTCACCGCTTCCTTCTTGCTTCTTAGGTGTTTGCTAGCTCTTGCTTCTGGCCTTGCCAGCTCCCCCTAGTACCCCAGAAATAGTCAGCATGGGCCAGCTCTGCAGGTGGTGTGGTTGTAGCCTCATGCAGCAGATGACAAGCATCAGGAAGTTAGTGAGCAGTGCCTCACACCTCTGGACCTTGGCTTGCCTGTGTTCTCTGCTTCTTATTTTTGCTCTGCCTTGCAAACTCTTATTCATCCTTCAGTACTCTCCAGGCCCAGCTCCTGTTTGCACTGGAGCATTGATAAATGCTGACCTTAGTGACAACAGTCTGGAGCCCATGTGGGTTCTGATCTGGGCCCGTCCAGCCCCCAACCCCCAAATGTGCTACTGCCCCCTTCCTTTTTTTTTTCCTCTCTCCTTCCTCCTCTTCCCCCTCTTCTTCCTTCATCTTTTTCTTCTGACAGAATCTCATGTATTCCAGTCTGAACTCAAACTCTTTTTTTTTTTTTTTGGTTTTTCGAGACAGGGTTTCTCTGTGGCTTTGGAGGCTGTCCTGGAACTTGCTCTGTAGACCAGGCTGGCCTCGAACTCACAGAGATCCGCTTGCCTCTGCCTCCCGAGTGCTGGGATTAAAGGCGTGCGCCACCAACGCCCAGCTTGAACTCAAACTCTTTAGGTGTTGGAGAATGTCCTTGAACTTCTGATCCTCCTGCCTCCACCTCCCGAGTGCTGGTATTACCCACCCATGTGGCCCCATCTGGTGTATGTGATGCCCGGGGATGGTGAACCCAGGGCTTCAAGCATGCTAAGCAAGCACTTTACCAACTGAGACGTCTCCCCAGTCCAAATGTATCCTGCTTTGTGTTCCCCAAAGTACCTAGCATCTTTCAGTTCCATCTCAAAGACAAGGCTGGGGTGACCCCAGAGGATTCTGGATCACACATTCTTTGGTTTCCCAAAATAAGTAGATGTAGGAAAAGTGCTGGCTGCCCTCAAGGTTATTTCATGGCGTCCCAGAACCCCTAGCTGTGTTCATCTACAGGAAGGCTTAGATGGGTCAGAACCTTGTGCCCACTGCCCTTTCCACCATGCTCTACTTCAGCTATGGTGGGCTTCGTCCCAGAGAAGCCAACAGGAAGGTTACACAGATATTCTCCCACCGAGCAGCTCTCCTGCTGTCTTCCTATTAGCACATTCATTGTATCCTAGGCAGGCCTCTTGCCCAGCCTGTTCCCTAGCAGCCCTTCCAACCCCAAGGAAGCCTTCCACACCCACTCTGTGCCCCTAGCTCCGGTGTATCTGAGCCACAGGCTGTGGAAGACCCCCAGGTCTGGCTAAGGAGCAGGGAATCACTGTCCTTGGGTGGCCATAGTGTGCTCAGTGTTTTAGTCTGTGCCGTTCCATCTACTTTCAGAAGCCAGTCTCTGCCCCAGTGTCTCGAGACACTTATCTGAATAGGCCCCCTTCCAGCCCTCCCTTAGGGAGAGCCACCTTCCAGCCTCTGCAAAATGGGAAAAGTCACATTAACTGATGGTGCTGACCCCCTTGAATGAGGAGTGTGAGGTGGATGGGACTGACAGGATCCCATACTCCCCCGCTCCACCCTCTCAAGGCAGGACTGAGGGTTCCCAAAGTCACAGCTTATCTGAATAGGCCCCTTCCAGCCCTCCCTTAGGGAGAGCCACCTTCCAGGCTTCAACGAGACAAAAGAGGACTTGAGGTTTCCTGGCCTCTTGTTGGCCCCACTGCCTTATAATGATGGTCAGAGCTCTAGCTGGTCTCCTGCCAGCCTGGGGACATGTGGAGGCAATTGTGTGAAGGAAAAAGTGAGCTCACCTTCACAAAACTGCAGTTCTTCAAATACATTGTCTCGGCAGATCTGCCCTACCTCCCTCCCGAGCCGGGAGGGTCAGGTTCAAAGGCGGCTTAGAGGCCCTTGCTGGACCCTGGCTGGCCAAACCAGGATGTCTGGGCATCGTGGGTGGATGCTGCTTCCTGGCTAAAGCCTTGAGTTTAGGATGCAGAGGCTGCGGGTGGTGCAAAGACTGGACCTATGAGTGGGTGCATCCGGCTTTGCCTCCCCACAGCGCTGTGCAAAAGTCCCCAACACCTCCATCAATCTCTCAGACTTTCCAGCGGGAACAGGGGTGGGCGGCAGGCAGCACCCACAGGGCTGGGCACAGAGGAAACCGGACTGTGATGTGGGAGATGCAGGGTAAACACACAGGGGCCATCAAGGAAGGCCACACTTAAAGGAATCAAAGGGCGCCCAGTAAGGGATTGGGAGGGAGAAGCCGGCATGCCAGTCCCAGCTGAGTTATGGGGCATATGTTACTATAATCACTGGGATTGCTCTCAACGAGCTTCTATGGCCTCAGTGTTGTATTCTGTGGCCCCTCCCTCAGGCCAGGCAGGTCTGTGAGGATGCTACCAGGTCAGCAACAATTCTGCCTTTACCTGGGTGGGGACGTGAGAGGGAAGTCAATAGCTCCACCCCTCCAGGCAGGATCCACACTCCTCCCTCCACACAGGCCAATGTGCTAGGGCTTCTGGAGCACCCCTCCTGGAGCACCCCTCCTGGAGCACCCCTCCTGGAGCACCCCCTCCTGGAGCACCCCTCCTGGAGCACCCCTCCAGATGGACACTCCTCCCACTAGCTATGCTGTAGAGGACAAGGGGACTAAAGGCCTAAAGTTCAGTCTTGGTTAAAATTATGGCTTCCCACAGAGAC